AAATGCGACACAGCATTATCATTAAATAAATTTACAACGCGCATAGCCACGTCCTTATTAGGATGATGCTTCTCAATGTAAGATGCAACAGTTTGCCATGCTTTCAGCATTTCTCTTATTTCGCCAGAAGATTGTTGTTTTTCTGTTACCTCCTCCTCAGACAAAACTTTCCTCCAAAACATCTTGCTGTGAAACACAATGCAACTCGATAAGTTCTTCAAAATCACTGTTATCCACCTTTAATCCCATGATAGTGGCCAAAGACACAATCTTGTTGACTACAGGTTCCACAAGTACTGTCTTGAACCCCTCAAAGTCACAAATCGACAACGCTCACCGGCCAAAGCTTCTTCCACGGATAAGTTAGGTTTTTCTCGGTAACCCCTTACCCCGCCTTGTCGATCATCTTGAGGCAGGCAACGATATGGAAGTGATTTTTCCAAAACTCTTTGAGAGTGAGATTGGTCCCTTCAGTCACCTGAAAATAATGCTCAAAGAGTGCTTTAGTGTAGAGCTTCTTAAAGTTATAAATAACTTGCTGGTCCATGGAGTAACGGAGTGGTGTTGGGAGGCAGAAACTGGATCTTGACGAACTTAAATTCTTCAGAGAGGTCATCTTGTAGGCCTGGAGTTTTCATGTACATATATCACAATTTAACACAAGTTTGAGAAAATGTGATCACAAGCGACACTACGATGCTACTGGAACGAGTGCTAAACACAGACTGATGTAACATGTGCACAGTTTGGGACTTCCCCTCTCTTCGACACTCGTTATGCGAAACGTCGCTCGCTAAGCAAGTCATTTTTTTTACAATTTGTTTTGCTCATTATGCGAATTACTCGTTATGCGAGGTGCTCGTTAAGCGAGGTTCTACTGTATATCTGATTCAAAACACCCAGGTCATAGATCTGGGAGAGGCATTAACCCCTACGACCACTGGCAAGACACATCATGATGATGGGGCAAATTATTGAAGCAATCACTTGGTGTCAACTGATGTAACAAATGGATACTGCATGCGTTTAGTACATAACGAATGGGAGTCACCGTGGCGGAGGGGCTAGACGCTCGCCGCTGATCAGAAGGTCGTGGGTTCGCTCCCTGGCAGAGCCGGACTTTTTTTCAAAAAATGACCCTGGCTCCCAGGTCGACCCAGCCTTGAGTGGGTACCAGGTGTAGTCCCGGGAAGTAGAGGCGGCCGACGCGATGCTGACCACATCACCCAACTTGTGCCGATAGTCTATAAAATATAGGTCTAGCCCTATATGCCTCAAGGCGTGGAAAAGGGTCCTTTACTTTACTTCACTTACATAACGGAGTATCCACACAGATTTCTTTGGCATTTATCATTGTCTACTTTGCATTGATTGGCTGTAAACTCCTTCGGAAATTTATGGTTGTTCGTCCACTTCTGGACTTCAGTTTTGTCCACAACCGAGTTTTACGTGCTCATTCGTTTTACAGATCTGGCTTATTTGTATGCAGACTACTGGGTACGCGCCCCTCAGCCAGATGCACCCCGACTTCGAAAAAAACACTTCTAAATAGTCGACTTTTACGACATGTCTGTTAGGGAGCAGTGGGTATATTTATGTTTCCCCAACAATGGGGCCCTGGAACCCACACGGGGACTTTGACGTGAATTATATGTGAACCGTTCACATTCTTGATCGAAGTTTTTTCGCCAGGGACACAGATGAGTATCATTTATTTTGTACATTAGAGTCCTATGTAGTCAATTCATAGTCAGAGCGTATTTGTGTATGTGTAATGTGTTGTTCTTTATGTGCTGATGAAGGCTAATCGCCGCAACGTCCTTTGTTTATCGTGATCGATTTTGTAAAGCTAACATAAAGTATTTGTTGTTTCTTACCCCCTTTTTCTCTTCCCTATAATTTCCTACCCCTTTAAAAACATTTCTACAGGTGACGGATCTTCGTGACCTAAACACATCGACCCAGCCTTTAATGAGTACAAGTAAGTAAGAATGGTCGCCGAAGGGTTAACCATATCACACAGTGTCGACTGGTCTATAAAAACAAGCACCTCACACCCAAGACGAAGACACAGTCGCAGCGAGTGACAGATACATTGAGGTAGAAGCCAGATGGCACAAAAGTACACCCTTCATGCAGTAGCATTAAAAGGTCGGTTGGTACCTGGTGCGGAAATGTTGTTGCCTCACCCCTCCCCTCCTATCAAGTTGCGATATAACAAAACTTGTCATGTATTTTGACATTTTAAAGACGCCTGTCTGTCGCTAAAGTGTTTTTTCTTCAGTAAAAAACATTAGATTAACAAAAGGCACTTAAAAATCTACAATTCTCAATGTCAAGATGACCACCACAGGATGCCTTATGCTATCGCTTCATAAGGTTAACTGTGATGCCTGATATATGGTGTTTAGAAGTTGCATTTTGAGGACAGCCCATTCGCTTGCTTGTGTTTTTCATGTGCCCTGTTGGGATTGCTTGCACCTTGGTCTCTGAAAAGACTTGACAGCCAGAGTAACTAACAACGATTGCTTGAAAGAAGCTAATGAAAGTAGATCGTTATATACAACAATAAAAAAGAGACAAACACTGTTCTTTGGCCACATAGTGAGAAGAGAGACATTGGAGAACATCGTGACAACTAGAAAGATCAGTGGAAAAAGGGATGGAGGCAGACCAAGATAGAATGATGCTAGATGGGCTGAAACGATGGCAAGGAAGGATATTATCAAGAGAGCTGTTCCAGGCAACGAGAGATTGTAATCTGTGGACACTCATAAGCACCTTCACCAGTTGGCAGGGCACATGATGATGATGCTTAACTTTATTTTATCCCATATTGGCTCAAGACATTATGACCTTTCAATTATTTTAAACCCAACAATAGTGGATCAGCACATTCATAATCATAGTACTGGACTATGCTGTTAAATGTTTTCAATAGAACAGAACCAGAATACAAAACGTAACAAATTAAAGTTTGTTTCAATGGTCCATTTTTTTAAACACAGCAACAGGCACTAGATTTAATTCATCACCATCCTTTCAGTATGTTGCTCCTATCATGACCAGCTGTAAAACTGTCCCTTTAGTTTTTTTCTTCAGTCTTCTTCGCGTTCACCAGCTGTAAACTTTGGCGAAAAGTTATGGTTGTTCGTTCACTTCTAGGCTGCAGTCTTGTTGGAGAACCTGAATGTTGTGTGTGCATCAATTTTACAGATCTGACTCATTTGTGTGCAGAATGTTGGTTCCTTGCCTCTTAGGCGCTTCAACTTTGAAAGAAGCTCCGAACTAGTCGACTTTCGACATGCTTTTTTAATAGGCAGTTGGTCTATTCTTGTTTTCCCTGTAATAAGGCCCTGGAACACACATAAGGATTCTTCTTCAAAGCCGAGCAAGGCTTCCCATCCTAAAATACGTACTAGATAATGGCCTGTGATATCAAGGTGACTGGCATGAAGCTGATTACATCATTTATCACGTGACTGGTCTATAAAATTTAGTCTAACATCATGTGCCCAATGTGCCACAGGCGCGAAAATGGTCTTTAATAGCTTACTATATTTCCCCATATCTCACCGGGCACACCCAATAGAATTGGGAAAACGTGCAATGAAAAATACAAATGAGTCCATTTTACTGAAATACACAATTAACTTCTTCTTCACATCCACTGGCTGTAAACTCCAGCAGAAACGCCTGGTTGCTCATCCCTTTCTTGACTCCAGTCCTGTTCCAAAAAACTGAGCGTTGCGTGCACATCCGTTTCACAGGTCTGACTCATTTGCATGCAGACTATTCCTTGTCTCTCAGGCAGATGTACTCCAATTTCAAAGGAAGCTCCAAGTTAGTCAAATCTTGCGACTTGCTTTTCATCAGTCTGTGGGTCTGTTCTTGTTTTTCCCACAATGCGGCCCAGAACCCACACCCCACAATGCGGCCCAGAACCCACACCCCACAATGCGGCCCAGAACCCACACCCCACAATGCGGCCCAGAACCCACACCCCCACAATGCGGCCCAGAACCCACACCCCACAATGCGGCCCAGAACCCACACCCCACAATGCGGCCCAGAACCCACACCCCACAATGCGGCCCAGAACCCACACCCCACAATGCGGCCCAGAACCCACACCCCACAATGCGGCCCAGAACCCACACCCCACAATGCGGCCCAGAACCCACACCCCACAATGCGGCCCAGAACCCACACCCCACAATGCGGCCCAGAACCCACACCCACAATGCGGCCCAGAACCCACACCCCACAATGCGGCCCAGAACCCACATGGGGAACACAACAAACACAATCCATTGTCTGAATTTAAAAGGTGCAGACAAAGAGGGACAAATGTGTTTAGTTATATGTTGTTTTAATTCAATATGCACCTGATGGGATACAGCCACATACCCCAAGCAACAAATTGTGCAACCTTCTGCTTGTGTATTAACTATAAATTTATAACGGAAGTCACAGACTTAAATGTTTTATTTCCTTAATTTTTAATGACCAGTAAATGTTCAATATTGTCAACTTGTCGAATATAAGTCTGGAAGTTTTATTTTAGAAAATCCACCTATGCTTTTCAAAGTTTCTTCGTTTCTCTATAAACACCACCTATATTATTTAAAGTTTCTTTGATACTCTTAAAACACCACTTACATTATTTAAAGTATCTTCATTACTCTAGAAACACCACCTACATTATTTAAAATTTCCTTGCTATTCCAGAAACATTACTTCAAGGTTTCTTTTTCCAAATATTACAAAGACATTACTTCAAGGTTTCTTTTTCCTATTATTACAAAGACATTATTTCAAGGTTTCTTTTTCCTATTATTTACAAAGACATTTCTTCAAGGTTTCTTTATTATTCTAGAAACAATTCCTACATTAATTTTTTAATGTTTTTTTTTATTATTCTAGACACATCATGTTCATTGTTTGAAGGTTTCTTCATTATTCTAGGAATAATACAGCTAATATAAAGTCAAATTCAACTAAAATGTTAATGCTTGTGCTCTGGAAGTTGAAGGTGCCTCTTCTTCATATTCTATGTGAACTTTAGGTCTCTTCTTGGATGCTGGAGGCTTCTTGGCTTTCTTCTTTCCTTTACTCTTCCCGTTTTCTTCAGAAGATTCTTCTTCTTCTTCTTCTGAATCTGTCGTGTCATCTGCATCCTGTGAAAAACAAAATTAATTTTAAACAATAGAGTAGGAATACCATAAGCAGAAATTAATTTTTAAGGATAAAAAAAAGCAAGTAATAAAAACAACAGAAATTCTTCTTAAATAGTGAAAAATGAATATACATATTTACATACATGTACATATATATATATACATACATACATACATACATACACAATCTTCCAAGTTTATTAAAAATGCAACTCTCAATGAAAACTGTGAGAACAATCGCAAATTTGTGAAAAGAGTGAAAAATGAAAATTAAAAGGCTGATTAAGCAATACACAATAACAAACACCAAAAGAACATATAAATGACTAATTGTGTGTGTGTGTGTATTACAGTAAACAATGCCTGCCAAGTGATTGAACTGAAATGTACAATTTCTAAGACAATCAAGCTGACTTGCCTTAACAACTCAATGTTCTGCAACACAAGGCGAGACATCATTGTTTATTCCCAACCTATGATCACGTTTGGGCTTGATGCAGTTACACTGCTGTCATGGACACATTTTTTAATATCTCACTGTTTTAGTGTTGTTTTGAAAGATGTGTGTTTGCGCAAAGGTGTACTTTTGGGACATGGGTGTTCAACGGGACAGAGATCCGAGAGTGAGACATGAATAAACAGTGACAGTTTGTTTCACAAAGACTGACTGCTCAGGGTTTTCTTTCCATATGTTCTACAGGTATGTTTGCAATGATTAAAGTCAATGTCGACTACTTCCACAAACTGTTCTCAAATGTTTTAGTTCCATTTCTGTTTCATTAATACTTGACTGAAGACAGTTCTGTCAGCGGTGCCCGACAAGGGTCTATGACACTACCCTGTCACTTGGGCAGTCATGTCAGGGAGTATCTATCAAGATGCTGATCTTTTTGGAACCAACTAGGTCATTTCAGCACCGATTCCGATTCCTTTTAGGAAATTGTTTTTTCAGTTCGTCCCTGTTTCAGACTGCTGCTAGCTAGCCTAGGCTGCTAACAGCCCCTGTCTATATTTGTGGTCTGGTTTATTAGCGTCACTTTCGTGACTAAAGTTCTAGTATTTGCACCATGATGTTTCCTTCTTTTAAGTCAGACCGCTCGGTCTCTACTTCTTGCCCTTTCCTTTCTGGTGTTTCCTTCTGGGTTTCAATTCCCTAATGATTTGGCCAGGCATATTTTGTGGGAGAGAGAGCTTCTCTGTATAATGTCCTTTAGACACCATTTATAGTTCTTAAATATTGAGTACTTTACTTTGCCAAAAAGTACTGAAAACAGTTTTTGGTTTTGGATAGATCAGAAATGTTCTTCAGCACCATGAAACATCATTTTAGGTAAATTGGTCAGCATAAAAGTCAGCGATAAGATGAAAGATTTTGTTTTTGTTTTGGGGTAACAATAAAATAACATGCAGTTTGTGGTGACTGCACTAGCCAAATTGTTCTAAATTCTCCGGTCCAAGACCCCTCCCCCTTTCCAATACCACCCCAAAAGTGCTACAAACAGATGGTGAAGACAGTTTTAAAGATAGTCAGAATAATAATGACTGATTTTCTTCTGTGAGGGTTCTAGGTCCCACTGTGGAGGAAATAAGAACAGACCCACTGCAACCTCCCAAAAAAAAGCATGTCATGAAAGTATAATAATCAGTTGTGTTTTCTACTTAGTTGGAGTGCACCTACCTGACCAATGGTCTGTACACAAAAAAGCACATATGTAAACAGATTAACTCCAGCGGTCAACAGACAACCAGAACTATCTGCTGGAGTTCACAGCCGGTCAATGCGAAGAACAAGAGACTGGCTGCTAGCACCATTTTTTTTTCTTTTCTCTACTAGAATACCTTGCAGTGTCAGAGGAGGGCAAGATCTGTGAAATGGGCCCTTCTGTCAAATATAGTAACTTTTAGTGTCTCTGTTATTTCTGCATCCATTTTTGCATGGTCAACCTCTGGCTTTGCACTCTTGTATTATACTGCTCTGTGGTGCACTGTCTGATGCTAATCTTGTTACACTGGCATCAGACAGGGCACCACAGATAGCTAGCACAAAATGCCTGATGCATTGTTCATGATCTGAAAATGGGTCCTGGATCCTGAACATGTACTGCGATTATGACTGTTTATGTATTATTGTGTTGTACTTACTTCAATATCTGAAACGTCACTTTCATCAAAATCTTCATCTGCGACATATTCTACTTGTCCAACATCCTGGGGGAAAAAATAGCTCAATTTTAAAACCATAAATAAATGCCTATTTTAATTTTTTCTGCCTGTCATTTTATGTTTCCTAAAAAAAAATGCAAACTGTCAATACCATGAATTTATAGAAGAATGCTGCAGATTCCGTGGACAGTGAACAATTAAACTACATGTTTCAAAAGAGGATAAGACATGAAGACTCTTATCACAATCCCAGGCAAAGGACAATTAACATGTCTAGCCACATTATGAGAAGATAAAAACTAGAACTCCCAAGTGAAAAGAACTATGGAGATGGTTATATTATGAGAACAGAAAAACTAAACTCACAAATGGAAAGATCTATGGAGAGACAGGAAGACAAGAGTAAACTTCTGGGCAAAGAGGACTTCATCTTTACGTTCACTGGCTGTAAACTCTGGCGGAAAGTTATAGTTGTTTGTCCACTTCTAGACCTTTAGACTTTTTCCAGAACCTGAGTGTTGCATAATTTTACAGATATGACTCATCTGCATGCAGCTGTTGGTCCCTTGCCTTTCAGGCAGATGAACTTCAGCTTAGAAGGAAGCTCCCAATTAGTTGACTCTTACTACATGGTTTTGGGTAGGCCGTGGGTCTATTCTTGTTTTCCTTACAACAAGGCCCAGGACCCACATGGAGAGGCACAGAGGACAACAAATGATTAAAATCAATGTTTAAAGGTTAAGACATGAAGGCACTTATCACAATCATAAAACTCCCCTTGTGGATTCTGATTTCTAAACCTAGAAAGATCAGGGCTATGAGAACCCGCAGGACTTTTAAGTATGAGAGGGCCAGTACCCTTCTTCAAGTAATGGGTCAACTATCTCCCCTGTTGACACACAAGCAGATACCTCGGAGTACTAAAGTGAATCTTATCAGAACTAATTTTTGGCCATCACTATGCTATCAATGCCAAATGTGGACACTTACATCCTCCAATGAATGTAAAAATGTGACAACAGAGAGGAAATGCCTTAGAACAGCTGCAGGAGTTTCAAGGAAAGAGAATACGAAATCATGAAATGAGACAAATGCTAGGAATAAAGCCAGTCTTACAGGTCATCAAAGAACAACAAATGAAGTGGTTTGGACACCTAACAAGAATGCCCTGGTACTATCCGCCACAGCGAGCCACACTAAAATGTTACAACGGGTATAGAGCGAGTGGAGGACCTCAGAAAACATTGAGTGATGGCATTAAGAACAGCCTTTCAGAAATGAACATCAGTCTTAATAGTGCTCTTGACAAAGCCCATTAACGAACATTACATCTCCCCCCGACACTTCGATGAGGTACTAGGTGGAAGAGAAGAAGAAGAAGAAGTACCCTTCTTGGACGCCTTCGACAGAAGGTATGCAACAGAACCACCACCTGTGCTTTTGTGCAACCTCCACGGTGGACCCAAGAAGTAAATGGAGAGCAAAGCGAGCAGCAGTTAATTACAGAAAGTGCGAAAGACACCTCACAGGTTACAAGAGGATCTAGAGAAGCTAGAAGGAGTTGGACAAGAAAAGTAGAAGAGTTAATGCAGTGTGCGGCAGATGCAAAGAAGGCTAAATGGGAATATTTTATGAGCAAAAATGAAGAGGATTAATTACTGGGGAGGTTTTGGAAACTTCGCAGACAGATGCAAAGGAACCATCGATCAAATACAATAGGCATTATTATAAACTGATAATGGTATTCTAATGAAAACAGACATATAGAAAGGGTAAGCAGTTTGGAGAGATTTATAGTCCAAACTAACCATAATTATAGTGAAAGGGAACTCAGAAATTCAGTTAGAGATAATCTGTCAAGATTGCAGAACCTGAAACAGAAGGTGCTGGAAGTATACTGAAATTTGCCAATGATGTTCTTGCAAAAAGGGAGGGCAGCTATGGGAAACAGACACATCAGGAGCTATAGGCAGCTGCAGACAAAGTCACTGACTGGTGTGCAGAAATAGGTGCTGTCATCAACTCAGAAAAGGCAGCTGTTTTATGGTGCTCTCTGGACAATAAAACTGTAAAAGCTAATGTCACAATAAATGATGGAAACATCAAAAAAAAAGAAAACTGAAGTATCTGTGTATCATTTTCAATAGAAGCCTGTCTGTTCAGGGATCATGTGAAGCATTTGCAATGAAACGTCAAAAAGGACTTAAAGCTATCAAGATTATGGCAGCAATGAACAGGGAACAAAGAAGGCTATTCACAATGTTCCAGATGTGTTTCTGTGATAGATTATGGACTTGGCATGCTTACCATATCAAAGAGTCAGCTGATGAAATATGAACGCATACATAATGAAACCATGCAGGTAATTCTCGAATGTACAAGAGATACCCCAGAAGTATGTTTACCATATATACTTCTACTAGTGCAGAAAGGCTCAAAGTTCTGCAAGTAAAAGTTATCTTAGAGTAGCTGCAGACAAGACCCACCTCCTGAGTGAAGTCCCTTGTAGAGCTAAGGGTCACTGACTAAAAGAAGAAGGTCTTGGATAGGCAAGCTGAAGACAATTAGAAATGTGTGCAGACTTGATAAATTTGGGCAATGGAGGAGTAGGTCAGTGTCCGAGTAAGAATCAGATTTGTGTAGGGTTCTGATCACTTGAGGTCGTAAGTGCAGGGACTGGCCAGTTGGTGCTGGAAAATTAGAAGTATAACACATGAATTCCCACACAGGTGAGGTGATTATCTATACAGATGGCTTTGTGTTGAGAAGTAGACGAAGTGCAAAGACGAATGGACATCAGTGCAGCAAAGCCTGGCATGTGATATCACAACATCTATTTTGAGAATTGTGGTGAAGGCAGTCACTGCTGACTTCCACTGGCTTCAGAATAAGCTGTACACATGTTTTATTGTAACTGACTCAAAGAACATGTTAAGAAAGGCATGCTCCGTGCACAGAGGCAAGCATATTTTCAGAGATCCCAGGTAGTTATCTTCCTTTGAATATTTTCTCTAGGTTATGCCGGTGTATTTGGAATTGAGCAGGGAGATAGACTGGCTGCTTCTGCACCACTTGGTGGTGAACAGATATATGATAAGCTGGATGTTCTGATGGCCCTTTGAGAGTGAGTGAACAGTGTGGAGGCACAAACAGATCATTATGGTCTGGGAAATGGCGCTGCAAGGAGTTACCAGGGGATCTGGCTGACACTTAACACTCAAGGAAAAGGCAGACGGATATACAATCACATAGTTACTGGTGCTTTGGAATTGGAACTTTTGGCTGCTGCTGAAGATGGGGACAGCACGCTTAGTGGAGTGCTGTCATGTCGATTCTTAATTCAACATTCATTTCTAACAAAGGCTAGTGAAAGTTGGAGAACCATTAAACATATAAAAGGTTAAATACACTACAAAACAAAGGCCTAGGGAAAATGATGAACATTATTGGGATAAATACAAGAAAAATAAGGAGACCGGGGAAATGTTAGGACAACAACTGATATCAAGTGTTATAAGTGAAAGATGACAGTGATTTACCCAGCATATTCTGAGAAAAAGCAGACAAAGAATCACAAAACAGGCACTGAAATTACAGTCCGAGGAAGAGAGGATACCCAAAAAGAATCCTACAACAAACAGTGAAGAAGGAGGTTAGAGGCAAATGTAAAAGACCCTTTTCCATGCCTGCAGGCGTATTGGGCATACAGGGCTAGACGTATATTTTACAGACCAATCAGCACTGGTGAGTGATGTGGTCAGCATCAGAGGCTTGCAGTGCTGGGCAAGATTCCATACATGAAATACAAAGGACTGAACAGGACAGAATGGAATGAATAAATCAACTGTGACCTGCATGTGATTGCATAAATGGTACAACAGGATGAGAATGAAGCACCCCCCAAAAAATTGATATTGAACCAGACATAATATATCATAAAGAAATACACAGCACAGGACATGGATAATGGCAACTGGTGTCTTTACTGTCTGCAATGGCTTGCTCCAAAGATAATGTACATACTATTGTAGGGCTGTGAAAATATACAAAAGAAATCTTTTTTATATACACCAGCTGTAAACAACAGCGGAAAGTTCCGGTTGTTCATCCACCTCTGGACTTTAGTCTTGTTCTAGAACCGGAGTGTTGCATCCACATGTTTTACTGATCTGACTTTTTCGTATGCACTGTTGGTTCCTTGCCTCTCAGGCAGATGCACTCTTGACTTTGAAGGAAGCCCCCAATTAGTCGACGCTCAGACATGCTTCTTGGGGAGGCAGTGAGTCTGTTCTTGCTTCCCCCACTAAGAGGCCATGGAACCCACACATGGAGTACTAAAGAAACATTCTGTTGAGTATAAATGTATATGACTAAAGACATCTATAATAGGATTTCTTTATTAATACAGAACCTTAAGTAAAAGGGCTGACAATCATTACCTCATAATCCTCCTCTTCCTCTAATTCCAGTTCATCCTCTTCCTCCAGTTCTTCTTCAACCTGCTCTTCCATTTCTTCATCTGTAGAAATCTCTTCCTCCTCAGTCACCTTATCAAAGGCTTTTTGTGGGAAGTTATAAATATCACCATACTGAAAAAGACAGAAAATCAACTCAATTTCCACATCACTTTAAATAACAATTGACATATCATTTCAAACATATTTGACAGTGTATATACAGGATTACATTAAACACAAAAAGAGATAGGTCATGAATACTAGCATTAGAGAGAAGGTTGGAATAAGACTGCATGGAATACACTTAAAGGAAAAGCAAGAGGTAGTTAGTAAAAATGCAGCCAGACCCATGTGTATATGAGACATTTGGGAGGCAGAGCATCTGGGCGAAAGATGAGAAAAAGACCAGGAAGATGATATATGGCAAAGCTGAATCCTGCAAAACAAAATTAACAAAAAGCACAAAACACATATAATAGGAAAAAAACATTACAAAGATGTAAGTGAAGAACTAAGATAAAGCACAATTAAAAAAATGATCCATAATTTGCTAAGATGTTAAAAGTACCCCAATTATAACCTTTTCAGGTGGTTAATCAGGGTATCTAGGGTTTGTCCTGTTAAACTGACATCCAAAATGCAACTCTTCAGGTCACAATGGTGTGAAGTCTTCAGCAGCATACAAGGAAAAAAAAATCAGTTGGTCATCTAAGAGTTACTGTATTGTGCACAGAATCATATTTATATGAACATCCCCACAAGTGCTAAGTGCCATACTGCAGATTACAGTGGTAGAATCTCACCATACCGTATTAACATATTGCCACTAAAAATCCTATAATTTGTGTACAAAAGATTTGCTTTTATTTAATGTGGACAACTTTTACTTTAGAAATTGTGTTTCGGTATCAGCTCTTTTACATTTCAAATGCATTTTTATTTTTTCTCTGCAAACATGTCCTAGCGGTTCGCTCTTGTAAAAGACTAGACATCGGATCCACTACCACAGAGTGGGGACATTATTACCAACCACTTTCAAAATTGTTTTTTTTTTAAAACAAACAAAATGGTCAACATCACGACACAAACAAGATTTGCCCTAGCCGGAGAACATAACCACTGATCAGCTCTCATCATCATGTATAGTGTCGATAAGCGCAGTATTGCCAAGTGTCTAGAGAAGAATGATTAACGCATCACCCAGGTCTATATAAAAGTTCCCAAGTCGGCCTTTTGGGTTCCCACCGGAGAGTGATTAACTAACACAGTTTACATAGTCACATTACAACTAACATTGATAACAACATCAACAAACATGTTAAAGTCATCGCTATAATCGGACATCAGCCTCTTCACTGCCGAACACAGTATGATAATAAGGATGAATTGATGATTACAGAACTACTGTCCCTCTAATAAAGTCCCCAGAATTCCAGGTGCATACCTTTTAAACCAATCCACCAATTGTCTCACTATGTTTTCTTAGCACTCTCATGTTGCCGATCCCAACTCTTGAGCTAACCGCTTCAGTGCTCTTGGTATCTGGCTAACCCTCACTCACTCCAGGGCTAGCAGTAAGAACAAACAAGCTTCACTTATCTTACTCAGCTAGACCTCCACTGGTAGACTTAGTAACAGGCACTTTCCCACTGGCTGACTGGGAACCTCTAAACGCTTAAGTTTCCACGACACGCACACAGCAAGTCAGTCACGATTAGGATATCTACGATGACAAACAGAACTCCCAAATCAGAATCCCAACAACACACAATCGATTGTCTGACATCTACGAGGCACACTCACTCAGCCTTGTAGGTAAAAAACAACTGTCTTGTTTCTGTAGTGAACACCACCAAGCGTATTCACAACTGCTCCATCAACTCTGCTCTAGTACATAGTCCACTGGAGCATTCCGAATTATACACCAAATTCTAATGTACCATCAAAACTTGCACCAGAATAAATAATACACATAACTACATACACACGTCCGAAGTCTCTCACAGACTGAGTGGCACTGATTGGACGCGGGCTAACTTTTAGCTTAGCGACTAGTCACGCATGGGTCTTGCAAACCCGTGAAGCCACTGTAACTTGCTAAACGCACACAAAAAATGTTTCTCAATTTGACTGAGTAGATCTTTGCACTCGCCTCTTGCCATCAACATCATCATCCAGTGCCCCTATGACTGGCATAGGCGATCACGCCCCTGACACCTGGCACAACTGAACAGCAAAGCGAGTTTAGCACACAACACATAGGCTGCACGATTTGCTGTCTTCCATGATCACAAGAATCAGATATCCAGGTATCTACCCTATGCCTTCACTTTGCTCTTTTTTTCATCAATATTACAAGTCATTACCTAGTTCTCAAGTCGATTCCTTCCACTGTATACTGTTCTTTGAAAAGAAACAAAAATCATTAGCTCTATGTGTGAAAAAGAACAAGAAACAGCAGTATGTATGTGTTCCCTGATAATTCTAAAACTTACCATTCCATCTTTCAATCTCTGCAGCAAGCTCCTCTCTAAAACTGTGTCCAATTGTGCTGCTATTAAAGCTTTTTCCTATTTATTAAAACAAACAAAAATATGTTAGTTTCCATTCCCTTATTTATGTATAGAAAAATCCTACCTTCTGGTCAATGTTGGGGGGGGGGGGGGAGGAGGAAGAGAAATTACTACATTAAGCAGGAAACATAAAGATAAATAATTAATTGGATTTGCTTTGAGCAATACCGAAATTTTAGTTTGATCCATTTGATCCTCAATCACAAATTCAGTTATATTTTAATTAAAAATTTATTAAATTGAATTAAAAAAAAAAAAAACATTAGCCTCTGTCAATTTTCATATTTGAGCTATGAAATACAAATTATAGACTAATTCGTTTGTACTTGTAAACAAAAACATAACAAAACGATCTTACCGCACGCCTGGATTCTCGCCTTTCAACCTTCCTGCTCAGTGGTACCAGCTCCTTCCTAAAAGAAAGTGCAATTTGAAATGCCAAAGACCATTGAAAAACACATGTTTACTGAAGTTATGAAAAAGCAACAACAAAAATTTTATGGTTGGGAGTCATCACAACAAGAGGAACAGTATTAAAGGGTCACGACATTAGGAAGGTTGAGAACCACTGACCTAGCAGGCCAGATGATGACAAACATGACATTGTTTTCTTGTGCACACCAAACATCCTAATCCCGTTAGAAACCACAATTTGAAGGAAATAACTTATCAAGTTGATAAAGCTCATTACTTTGGGCAGTCTTGTATGAGGGAAGAAAACTACACAAATGTGTGACAGTTCTGCCCAAAGACAGAAATGAAAATTAACATGCCTCTTCATAATAAATTTACCCACAGAAAGTACAGTAATAAATAAGACACGAGAATTTATTGATTGCGGATCACCAAGAATCCGGAAGCTGTGTTATATTTTGAATGCCAGAAAAGTATGTTATACAAATGGCTTTTACTGCTATAACTTACAAATGGCTTTTACTGCTATAACTTATCTGCCAAAACCAGCTTCACATGACACATGTGACTAATCTGCCCTACCCAGCTGTCATATTAACAGGCATGTTAGAACTACTGAAATCTTGTCAAAGAGTTTTTTTTTATGTTTTCCTAAAGTCTGTTCTGCCCATGGCTTTTACTGTAACTTTTTTGGTCCCAGGCACATATAATTTTTTTTTTTCATTATATCAAAAGAAATGTTTATTTTGACTAATGAATATTCCTACCTAAAGTAATTAAAACATAAGCCCTGTGTGACAGAAAGGCTTTCAGTAACCATCAGTACAGAATGAGTTAGCATACAAACTAGCTGGCTTTTAGGAGTTTAAGAGATTGAAGCGTATAAGCAGGGAATGACAAGCCCATGGTGAGTTGCTTGGGACAGAAAGAGTTAAATTATCTGCCAAAACCAGCTACACGTGGGACTATTCTGCTCTACCCAGCTATCGTATCAACAGGCATGTTAGAACTACTGAAATGTTGTCAAAGAGTTTAAATGTTTTCCCAAAGTCTGTTCTGCCCATTTCAGTGAGAGGAGTAGGGGAAAAGATAGTAGATGTGTGTGCACATGCATTTGTAAGCATATACAGATTTTTATTTACTAGTATCTATCCACATTATCTCACCTGATAATAGCATTTATGACATGCTAGTACTGGGTTATTTTATCACAATATGAGATAAGTGTCACTCATCGCTGTGTGTCATTTACATTTGAATAACAATTTTGAAAAATCTTATAATCACTTATGATTGAAACATTAATTTTACTTTTATCATCAAATCCTTAAAAAAATTAGTTGTCTATTATCACTGAGTAATACTTATTGGCACTGTTTACTGTGTACAAACCGAATGTTTCTTTACTGTTTTCAATCCCTCTTCTACGTAGGAAACATCTTAATCATGTATCAGATTTTCTGAGCACCTGACTTTATTAACTGATGATGCATTGTGGTAAGACACTCAAAAGTTGGTTTCTCGATTTTGTTGGCTCAAAATGTTCTCCCAATATGTCTGATATTCATTTCAGTCTAAATTGACAGTTTCCCTTCAACACGTCACCTGACCAAGTGTTTGTGTGAATATTTGACTTGTGTTTTACATGCGTCGGCTCTGTGGCTAAGTCGATGCAAACGCTTAGTAATGCCGGGTTCGATCCCAGCTGCGGGCCGTGTGAATTGCATTGGTTTCGACATTGGTATCAGGGGCCGACCGTCCAGAAAGAAATGGCAAACTACTGGAAATAAATTTGTCTAGAGAAACCACACAACAGCCAGGGGCTGTTTAGGTTGGTTCTGCAACGTCCTGTAAAGGCTACGCAACAAACCATTTACATGTGCCTGATAGCGTTCATGTTTGCAGGGTTCATAGCCAAATTTACCAATCAATTTCAAGGCTTTTCAAGGTCTTTTTCAAGGTCTCCTTAGTTTTTTTCAAGGTTGTCTCGGTGTAATACTGAAACAAGATTTTTGCCTTGTTCAAGGGTGTACTGAGCACACAAGGTACTTCATTTGTGCCACATGTGTTGGTATACCAGCACAGATATCATCATCATGTAGCATTTCCTTTGTCCTGACAAAAAAACCTCGGTCTCTCACCAGCTCTCCCGCCTCATATACTTTTTTATACTCAAGGAGTCACTTATATCCTGTGCCCATCTTCGTGTTGGTCGGCCCCTGAGCTTGATATAGTGTTTGAAATTTTTTTTTAGGGCTTGGTGGTAGAGGGCAGCAAACTGAAGTCCTGTCTGTTCTGGACCTGGTACCTGAGAGGGTTAGGGGAGAGAGAGAGAGTCATGAAGAGAGAGGAAGACACATGCTGAGGTAGGCTGGGAGAGACAGTGTAAAGATGGACAGATGAAGGTAGAGAAAAGAAGGAAAAGAAGTCTGGGGAAGGAGGAAAAAATGAGAGGGAGGGATGGAGACATGATGAGGAAAAGTGGGGAAGGGACAGCGAAAGACAGAGAGAGAGACAAATACAGAAAGAGGGAATGCAGATACAGAGATGGGCAGATGAAAAGAGAAGGAAAAAGGGAACGAAACAGAGATATGGAAGGAGGAAAATATGACAAAGAGTTGAAAGAAGGGAGACAGAGGGAGAGAGAACGGACAGGGTGAGAAGCAGATGCAAGCAGAGAGAGATGTAGACATAAAGGAGAGAGAGACAAAGGGACAGCACAGAGAGGCAAGCAGACAGAGGGAGAGAACCAAAGAAAGAGAAAAAAGGCAGAACAGGAGAATGGGAGGGAGGTATACAAAGAGGAAGTGATGAAGGGAGGCAAACAGACATAAAGCAAGAGAGAGAGAGAGAGAGAGAGAGAGAGAGAGAGAGAGAGAGAGAGAGTGGGTAAGGAAGGCAGTGACAAACACAGATTAAGAGAGAGGGGCAGGAAGGGAGACAAGATACATCAAAGAAAAAAAACAGCCACCTACTCCCCCCCCCACACACAATTTCAAGTGTAGTGGACACAACCACTAGGAAAAGAGTTATGGGGCAAAAAAATACGTAGATGAACCAGTACAAAATGGGGGGGGGGGGGGGAGAGAATGAGAGAGGGGAGCGGGTAAGGAAATCTAGAGAAAATGAAAAGACAGGATGGAGAGGAGACAAAGAAGAGATGGGACAGGAGAAAGGGCAAGGAAAAGAAGAGAGGAAGAATGGAGAGAGAAAGGAGAATAGTAGAAGATCAAAGGAAAGAGAAGGGGTGAGAGAAGAAAGGTAAGACACGGTTGTGGGGGTGGGGGGTGGGTGTAAGAACAATGAGTGCCAAAAATAGAATTAGGAAATCTCTGAGGCCACTTTTCCAGTTCCTACCCTCTCCCAATGTGAATGTGGCCGTGGTCCAAAAACAACAGTGCTAACCCCTACTGCCCCTTGCTTGTCCTATCTGTGTGTGACAACAATAATTCAATTTCTTACACTTAAGGCTGGTGACCTGAGAGCCAAGGTCATTTTATGAAGAAAAAAAAAGTCCAGGGGATCCCAACCCACCACTGGTAGAAAATAGAGAAGTTTAACCACACACATAAATAGGTCAGACACATAAATAGGTCAGGGCAGCAGTGGACTTCGTTTTATTTCTGGTTTTCCAATTACAGAAAGGAGGGGGAGAGAGGAGGTGGTGGAAAGTGGTGTAGAAGGCTGAGGTGGTAAGGGTGAGACAGGGGAGGTGAGAGAATAAAGTTTAAGAAAATAAAGTGGGAATGAGACAGGGAGAGAAAGAAGGGAGTAAGAAATAAGATGAGACATAGAGGGAAGAAGGTAGCAGGAAGGGGTGCACTCCCTCCCCTAGGTGTCATCAATGTGGGAGGAGAAAAAAGGGGTGGGGGGTGACGGCAAATGTGTTTTTAAAAGTACACATATATTTAATGTGTGGGAGGGGGGAATGGTGGACATGAAATGTTCTGCACTAGGCAACACATAACCTTCTACACCAACTGAAGGTATGGAGAAAGAAAGAGAAAGAAAGAGAGAGAGAGAGAGAGAGTGGCAAATACAAAGAGAAAGAGAGAGAGGAAAGCAGTGACACAGACAGGCAGAGAGTGAGGAACAGGTAGGACAAAATGTGAGGGGGCGGGAAGGGAGATGGACAGAGATTAAGGCCGCTAGGAAAACAAACACATCAAAAGAAAATATCCACCATGTTCACACAGAATGCCCCCCCCCCCCAATACAACTTCCTGTGTACTTGAGTTGCTAGGAAGAGTTATGGAGCCGCACATTTACTAAACATTTAAACAAGAAATAAAATAGGAAAAAGGGGGAGGGGGACAGGAAATGAGAGAGTCAATGGAAAGATAGAGAGAAAGAGAAGAAGATAAAGATCAGAAGGGAGGGTTAGAGACAATGCAGGAGACGGGAAGGAAGGAGCAATAGGTAGAAGAGTGAAAGAGGGAGGGAAGAGAGAGAGGGGTGAGACAACAGAAGAGGGAATCTCGGGGAATTACAATACTGATCGCCAAACACACTGTAAAGATAAATCCAGGCCAAAAATAGAACTGGGAAATCCAGCTGCAGTCACTTTGCTTAGCCCCAATGCCATCTCTAATTAATAGAGAAGGCCGTGCTTAGCCCCCACCACGGCGACTCTATTTATAAATACAACTGAACCGAGCCCCACCATCTCCCAATGCCATAAACGATTTTTACTGTTCATTCTGCCCGACTTGCTAGAAACAAAGGCACACACACACGCGCAAGACGAAATCTGCTACTTCCCGCTGCTGTCTGCATGTATTCATGATCTGCAACACAGCCCGCCCTCTCCTGGCCTTTAACAAGCCATTTCGGCTGAAAATAGCCAATAATCAGCTGCCCTCACACCTGAAACGACCATACAACGAAAGTAGCCAAATGGCCAAAAAAGCCAAATGGCTCCTCCAAAATTGCCTGTGCTGAGAAACACAGGATTTCTGACGATTTCATTGCCGCAGTCAAAATTCACGGCTTTTCAAGGTCGGAATGTCTTTTATAAGCTAAAATTTACGGTTCAAGGTCAACGAAAAAAATCCCGGTAATTTCCCGATTCACTACGAACCCTGTGTTTGAAATGTTCTTCTTCCTTGCGTTCATCAGCTGTGAATTCTGGCATCTTGGTTGCTTGTCCATTCGGACTTTGGCTTTGTGCCATGCCTTGAGAATTGCTTTGTACTTTACACCAATTTTACTGGCTCATTTGTGTGCAGTTCTGGTTCCCTGCCTCTGATTTCGAAGGAGGTTTGAAATGTTCTTTTTCTGTGATTATCGAACACAATAAATTTTCACTTACCTTCTTTTCAGAGTGAGTTTCCTGATACGAATGAGATACTGCGTGATTTTTGTAAACCTTTGTTTACATTTGTGCTTCATATACCTGGGATATAGATAAAACTTGGTGAACAATATTTCTGACAGCAAATGATGCACATAGTATTTGAAACAATTTTTTTTTTTTTTTTAATCGACCACCGGCTGTGAATTCCAGTGGAAGGTCCAGGTTAATCGTCCGCTTGGACTTTTGGCTTTCACATGGACCTGATTTTTGCGTGTACAACCGTTTTTCATTTCCCTGCCTCATGGGCAGCTGTACTCCGACTTCGAAGGAAGACGTCAGGCCTATTTCTAGGGTGACTGTGGCCATTGTTTTGTGTGGGTCGAAACGTTGCCTGATTTGTGTGGTGTCCACTTTGTCTCCTTCGCCGCAGGTATTGCCCCCGGAGTACCCCTTTGGGGCAGCCTCCTGTGGAACAGTTAGCCCTCAAGGGAAGGCAGGGGCAGATCATGGGCATTCCCCGCCATCCAAGGAGGCTTCCATGCATGCAGAGCCGGCCCATGGCGCTCTGGTTCTGGGCTCACCCAAGGAATCGTCACGTCCTGCACATGCCTGCTTAACCTCACAACCGTATCAGGCCTCCCGCTCGACAGGGGCTGTGCCCTCTGGAAGTCAGCGGGGAGCAGCCCGTGGGTTTTGGACTTTTGTGACCACACAGATAGGTACATTCTTTTTTCTTCGCACGTTAGATTTCTTTGACAAGCCGCTAGCCCGATAGAATTTTACATCCTGCATCAGGCATATCGTTATCAGTTTTGTCCCTACACTCGGGCGAGTGGGGTCTTTGGGTGTGGACATTCGGTCTTTTTCAGTTCAATACAAATTTTGATCCGTATGATCTAGTTTTGTCGGACATTTAGGCTTAGCCATCCGATGGATGGTTGCTGTTGTGGTGTACCTCAGCGCGGTGACGACGACACTGAGGGTTAACTGAGGATGTACATGAATGGCCAGCCTATGGATGGTTGCTGTTGTGGTGTACCTCAGCGCGGTGACCACGATACTGAGGGTTAACCGAGGATGTACAAGGATGGTCAGCCTATGGATGGTTGCTGTTGTGGTGTACCTCAGCGTGGTGACGACGACACTGAGGGTTAACCGAGGATGTGCAGTGAACAATGTTCACTTTACTCCGCAGTCTTTTAACCAAGGGTTGTAATTTTGGCTGTATGTTTGGCAAACCTACTCATGTTCCTAATGAGTTTTGATAACATTTCTCACCTAAGCGTTTGGGGGCGGGCTGATGAGGGCCACAAGGACACATCACCTCTGGGGGCCGCCGAACTCCGAGATCCCCTGACAGCTTTGTTGATGCTCATTTGAGACATTATCCGTGGCGCACGACGAGGACGTGCTGTAGGGGTCTTGCGTGAGGTTCCGCACAACCAGAATAGTGAAGGACTGGCGCCCGAGTGACGTATGGAGTATCTCCTTATACACATCATGTTGGACTTAACTTCCCCTCACGCCTGTGACATAAATCACCGCGCCACTATTTGAAACAATGAAATAAAAGATGTTCACAAACAGATTTTGTTTAATCCAGCCGAGTGGCTTCATGGCTTTTTTTTTTTTGCAGGAGTGCAATGATTAGCCTAATTTTGACAGTTTTGTTATAAGAGTGGCCAATGAATAATGCTTTTATATATATATATATATATATATATATATATATATATATATATATATATATATATATATATATATATATATATATATATATATATATATAAAAGCATTATTCATTGGCCACTCTTATAATAAAACTGTCAAATATATATATATATATATATATATATATATATATATATATATATATATATATATATAATACACACACACTAATTGTTAATTTTAAAAAAAAGTGCTTTCTTGAAAATGAAATCTATTAAGAAATTCTTGATACTTACTTAGGCCAATAAATCAAATTCTCATCAATCTGTTTCAAAGCTGTGGCATAATTCCTAGACAACTTGATCTTTTCCCACATCCTGCGAGGAAATGCGGCTCTTTCGATTGCCTTGACAAACAGGTAACAGACACCTACAGTAAAGATAACAAATGTTCTCAACAAACAAGACAAGAATCTAAACGTACATAGATCAGAGTCACAAGTGGTATACTTTCTTTTGTAGGTAGCCTTTGTAAGTTTCAAATTTAGCCTTTTTTAGCCTGTTCATTTCAATTTCCAAGAGTCCAGAGACTGTTTTCGTGGGCAATGTGCACACGGGTCTTCAGTACAGAAAGGCTACACAGAATAAGATACATTAAACCAAAACTGGAGGAGAATACTATACTTTACATTTTGTAAAAAAAAATTACCTAATCCAAAAAGAATCAGATCTGCATGAGCCAGTGGTGGGAAGATGTAACCTCTTAGTTAGCCCAACCTTTAAATATGACTGAGTAGCCTTTGTGACATCTGTAGTCTTATAACCTTACTCTAGTACTGGTGTAGATCATGGGTATTCAATTGATTACCCGCTCGCCAGATTTAGCCTAGTAAGTGGCCCACCGATCGTTGCCAAAACAATGAAATATAGCCTTTTTTTTTAAATATCAATTAATGTGTTCTGTACAAATCTTCAAAAACCAGTTGTGACGAATGTGTCAATAGGAAATATTTATCGGAAATTTGTAAATGCGGAGATATAAGTGAACTTCCACAGTCAATAAAGGTGAGATATGTATTAGACAGGAGGGGATATAAAAATACCAGCTGGGTCCTGATAATTAGCGCTTAGATTACCTAGAAACTCTCAGAAATGGTGGCCACTGGTACAGACAAACTAATGCTACTGAGTGCTGCCGAACATCTGTAAGTGCTCTAATCAGATTATAATAAGATTTTTGTGAAGTCCAGCCAGTCACACACCAGTCATACCTAATCATAGACTGCAGGATACGACTGTACTAACAAACTGAAACAGTAACAGTGTTTTAATGTATATACATTTTAATAATTGAGTTAAATACTTGATGCTATGGCTAGTACTATTTAGAATGGGAAAAGTGGGACTGTGAAAAATTGTGCATTTAACCAAAAAAACAGACTGACATATTTTCAATATCATCGACCCTGCTTAATTCAAAAGCCGCTAACCTAACCAGCCTAGATCGGGTGAACAATGATACAATCAGATAAACTGTGGGAACAACACCTTGTACTAGATTCATCAAGAAACAGCAAACTAAGTGGCCTGGCCATCAATGCAGCAAGATCAAATACCATCACAGGCACTGCATCTCAAAAGATCAGTTATAAGAGCTAGAGGATAGAAGTGAAAAACATGGATCGACAACATGAAAGACACTCTATGCCTTTATGGCGTGACAATAGCCAGTGGCAGCTAGCGTGCACTGGACAGCAAAGTATTCCTCCCCATGATGCCTAACGGCAGAAGTGGTTTACGATGCTGATGAGTACAGAAAACCTTATTAATACAAACTTGGCCAAAAAAAGCACGCGATTAACAAAGAGCAGGCTGTTAACCACACACACAAAATTCTGGCCCCCGCAGAGATTCATAATTATTAGTCTCTGGTCAGCACAAATATAACTGATGTTTCTATCCCTTGAATATTTGCCAATGAGGTTTTACTGTAATGTTAATTGTTAATATAAATAAAGATATCCTCACCTTTTTCTTCTCTGACTGTGGCATACTGGCTGTTGGCCAATGGACATGTGGAACGATTGCACAGACCAGTCAAACTGAACTCATTTCTGCAGAAAAGCTGGCTCTTTGTTCTGGTAATAAAACAAGTTTGAGAAAAACAATTACGTACAATAATTTTAAATGACCCCAAACAAGAAATCACGGAAACCCTAGTCCCATTGGCTATTCTAGAAGTGTAATGTGTTGGATTTTCAGCATTTCTGACGTCATCATTCTCAGTGTGCGTTTTTTTTTCAATCAATCCAGCAGTGATCAAAGGATCCAATACAACTGTAAAGATTGATGAGTCTGTTCAAAAAGCACAAACAGTGGGTATTTGGTATTCAAATTAAACCCCTTGTGCATTGATACAACAAGTGGCACAGTCTAACAAACACTGGAACCACCTCTATAGTTCTTCTGTTGTTATGGCCGCAACATCGACTTTAAGGGCCAGAACAACAGGTCTAGGTGCATTAGTAATGATTTCCACACCACTTTTGAACAGAGAGTACCACCTGAAAATCTGTGCACGAGATAAAAAATTATCCCCATAAACTTGTTGCATCAATTCAACTGTTTCAATGGTGCTTTTTCTGAGTTTTAAAAAGAATCTAATGTTAGCTTTTTCCTCCGTGCTGATTACGTAGCAATACACTTCTAACTTGGTCAAAAAAATTTGAAGCAGTGATGATCTTTTGAGTTGTTACATCTAGTTGATCATTTCTATTATAAGAGGTGAGTGTGTCCAATATCAAATACGTTTGTGCAAGGGTCATTTTCTGTAGACATACTCTATGTAAGAAACTAATCTTCTAATAGTTTTCCCTTTCCTCATAATTCTTTGCAGGGCAGCAAACTTACAGCTACTCTTTGCCATTTTCTACTTCTCACTACCAAAGAAGTCTAAACTGTAACTAAGAATATATACAAAAGCTTCCTGTTATCTGCTTTCACTCAAAACAGTACATTACTGACCTCACCACACAAATCAGTGGCAAATTAAACACTATTATTCATCGACACCAATTTCAGTAACAACTGTTTTAAGTCTTATGCTGTAATCTAAGCCTGGTAAAAAAAATTCAGCCTCCTTCATTCATGCACTTAATAGCGTTGTAACTCTTCACAGGACAGCTCGAATATTTACTAATTTTAGCCAACACATTAGACTTTGACCATTTGTTGTCCAGGACAGCTTTCTGAATTAACTGCCTTACAATACACTGAGAGCTTAGCCTGGGATCATAACCTCTTGACCACTCTGAATCAAATAAAAGAGATTCCCTGTGTGGTTTCCAAGGCCCAATTATTGGGAAAACAAGATTAGACCCACTGCCTACTGAAAAGCATGTCGTAAGAGTCGACTAATTAGGAGCTTCCTTTAAAGTCGGAGTGCATCTGCCTGAGAGACAAGGAACTAGCATTCTGCATACAAATGACTGTAAAGCAGATGCACACTCAACACTCAGGTTCTGGAACAGGACTGCAGTCCAGATGTGGATAAACAACCAGAATTTTCTGCCAGAGTTTACAGCCGGTGAACACGAAGAAGAAAAAAATAAAGAGATGAGTAAATGGCACACTGAGATTACAATTACAAGACGTAGAAACGATTGCATAAAAATAGAATAGGGTGAACTATAACTTACTTGACTTTGTATGAGCAGAATGATTTGTTTATAATGCTCCATATCACCTGTAAACATATTGATACATTATTTAATGTAGTTGAATAGTGAGAAAAAAATCGCAAGTACGAGCCTTCCAAGAAGAGAGAGAGAGAGAGAGAGAGACAGTAAAAGATAAATGGGAGTCTGTGAGAATGGGAGGCCTGGGCAAAAAAGAATTGGAAACTGGAAAAGAAAAGAAAGAAGGGAGAGGCAGAGAGGAGAAAGTAAGAAAAGAACGAAGACATGAGGGGATGGATTTTCTCATGAGCCTCAGTGATGGAGGTCACAGCAAAAGTCACTCAAAAATAGAAACAGAGAAAGATGGATAAGGGGGCAAGAGGAGAGGAAGACAGAAAGGAATAGAAAGGAAGATGAGACAAAGGAGATGTGGAGGGTAGGGGTGAGGGGAAATATTGGAGAGAATGAGATGGACAGAACAGAGTAGGTGATACATAAGTAGAATAGTGAAAGAAGACAGGAAGAGATAGGGAAGAATACTCATACAAACATACATGCATGCAAGGACGGAGAAGTACACACAGAGACGATTACTGTTTGCATTTTATTCTATGAGCAGTGCCAAAGCTGTGAGAGAGAGAGAGAGAGAGAGAGAGAGAGAGAGAGAGAGAGAGAGAGAGAGAGAGAGAGAGGTGATACAAACAGGAGACGCCTCAAAAATTGAATTTAGAGATCTAAGTGTCGTCATTTATCCACTCTCCACACTCCCCCAGTGCCAATCATAAACCATGTAGATGGTATGTGTTTCCTAGATTTTCTAGATACAGTGGGTAGGTTTTGAGGATTTATATGTCATTTCAAAAAATGCCCAATTGTATTCAGCATATTTTTGCTGGGGGTTTTCCGTTTCAAGGCATGCGGCAGTCCCTGACTTATGTTTTATGTTCAGTGCTTTATTTAAAAGAAGAAAAAAGATCATGATCACCATCTTTGCTCCATTCAATTTAAAATCATTGAAAATATTTCAGAAAAGTGTTTACTATTTCCGCATCCCATCATATTTTTTGTGTAGTGCACCTCAAAACTTTTTACAGATCTGAATTATTTGCATGCAGATTGTTGGTTTCTTGCCTCGATGCACTCCAACTCTGATCTAAGCCGCCAGTGACTGAATCCACTCTTCAGACTTACAACATGCTTATTGGGAATGCAGTGCGTCTACCCCAAAATGGGTCCTAAAAAATCCAAAATCAATGGAAAGCTCCATTTAACATTTCCCCTATGTTTTTAAATAGTATTTAATAGTAATATTAAATATTGGTAAGATTACTACTAAGATTTTATCAAAATACACAGCAACAATGTCGGTTGAACACTAATATTACTAATAATGTTAAGTTAAAACTGTTGAATTAACTACTAAACTAAACTACTCAGTATGTTAATGCAGCCAAAAGGTAAAAATTACAAGTAAAATTACCACACTCACTAGTCTAGTCTAGCACTCTAACTCTACTGTTTACACTCAGTAAGCAGATTTTTAAATAAATAAATATGACTAGCTTAGATTAACAAAGACGTGTGTGTGTGTGTCTATGTCAATTTGTGTGCGAAAACTTTGCAATGAAAACGTTTTTTAAACAATAATTAAAATAACATATTAAAATTAAGTCGAAAAGTGCAGTGACAGACAGGACGACACGACTCACGACCAAACAATTATGAAAAAAAAATATGGTGACAATTTCACAAAATTAAGATATTATTAAGCTGATACATAATTATAATTTATACTTACATCATCGCTCTGCATTGTGTCCTTATTTACAGTTTAGATATCCACATGTGACTTTAGAGGAATATTTTCGAGTTTCGGTTAATCAACACAAAACAACGTGAGCATACAACCGGAAGTCTTCAGCTCAATAGTGAAATAGTCAACAAACGTATTCTACGTTTTGATATTATATCTATTAATTTATATTAATAGAATTTGTAGGCTGTGAAAAGACAAGATTAAAAAGTTTATATTTGTTGACACACATAGAAAAGAATATAAAAATTAAATGTTATATCAGAAAATATTCTTCTTCTATTAACAATTAAATTAGCCTGAATGGGAAACAGGAAAAGTCTCTTTCACCACCCCTCCCCCTTTTTTTGTGTCCCATCCTTCGTCTGACTAAACTAATCGCTTTGCACACTTTTACATCATAGCTGCAATATTTGCGCCTTCCAACCCTACACATCCGACTTCTTCGGATAGTTTTTTTTTTTTTTACGTTAGCCTTTCCAGTTAGTTTTGTGTGACATTTCACGGCCTTGTTTGTGTTGTGATTTCGTCATCCCGACCCATTACTGTTGCCCCTATAATACTCTTCCAGGGTAGCCGCATGCAAGCAGGGCCATTCACCTCCATCGGGTGTGCGTGCCGATTCTACCCCACCCCTTCCCCTGAAGGTTTAACGCCCTGACATTTTAAAAAAAATCCCACTACCAATGGCAGGCCAACAGAGCAAGACCTAGATATCCCTTTCAACCTCAGCTTTGTTATAATTAGGGCATCAGTAGCGGTTCGCGAGTATGGTTTTTCTTTTATCCTTCTCCCAAAAGAAGTACACCAGGCATCGGCTAGTCTTGATGAAAGCTATCGTACAGCCCATATCTCCACATGATTTTTTTTTTTTCCTTTTAACTTAGACTGGAATTGGCCAGATTGCACCTCTTGTAGTAGCATACAGTTTACAGTTGGAGTACATGCTCAGCATTTTCTGTTCCAGGTTGCAGGCACACGTCTTATTGTTTCCTACACTGAAAAACGAACATATGTTGGTGAAGCCTGTTGTGCTCTGTTCTTTGACTGCGTATGACGCTGTTCCTATCTAGATATGCAATGACGCGTTTCGGGGGACAAAAATGGTGTTGATATCCAGCCACCTTTCTAAAATATTAGTCTTTAATAATGTTTTAGCTTCTCGGTGGAATAAGTCACAATATGATTGCATCATCTTCTTCTTCTTCGCGTCCACCGGCTCTAAACCCCAGCGGAAAATTCTGGTTGCTCGTCTACTTGCTGTTCAAGAAACTGAGCGATGTGTACACATCCGTTTCACAGGTCTAACTAATTTGCATGCAGACTGTTGGTTCATTGCCTTTCAGGCAGATGTACTCCTACATCGAAGAAAGCTCCCAATTAGTCTACTCCTACGACATGCCTTTAAGCAGGCACTGGGTCTATTATTGTTCTCCCCACACTACACTGGGAAGGTCACGGGTGGTGAGCATACGTTCGATCATATCTTTAGGCATGATGGGAAATTAACAGACAGATTATCTGGATTTGCACTATTGGATGGTGAATTAATACATGACAAGGCAGATGTGGTCATGGTCCTTAGGAAACAAGCAACGGAGTCAGAAGCGAAGCCATATTATTATGGCATAGAGAGAATGAGGCACCTTGGTGTAACCAGTGAGTTTAGCCGGCACACTACACTCAGGGTAAAGGCAAGACGGACTTATAACCAGATTACGACCGGTACCACAAGTATTAGACCACTGCTGGCTGCTGAAAATAAGAACGGAGCATGCATAGGAATGCCCCGAGCGCTGTGATGTCAATTCCTGACTTAACTCTTCCCCACAATGGAGCCCCGATATCTACACGGAGAGATTGCACAATGTCACAGTCGCTTCTGACCCCTTATTCGTCTGTCCTTTAATTGCCTCTCAAGCTAGAGTGACCTGTAGGAATCCATAGCAGGACAGATTATACTACTGAAGAGCTTATGTGAATCAACCGTTGTGCGAAGTCCATACGTGTCTTTTGGGTAAACAGCTGCTTGTAGAACCTACTTGGCAACTATCAGAAAGGTCATTATGCAATATTCGCTGTGCTGTTGTCTGTTTAAGAAGGAACACGCCACATGTAAATCCACCCCTGCAATTTTAAACTATTTGGGTATGCGATGCACATTTCTCCCCCTTGGTCTTTGATTGCCTCCTTAGCTGAACCACTCGTATAGACTCTTAAATTTAACTCAAGTGTGGGAAAAGGCTGTTGATCTCCCCTAGTGCAGTGGACTTCATAGCAGAACTGCTCGTAGATAATTCGGAGATCTCTGTTATAGTGGTTCTCTACCGTTGGCAGGTTAGACGGGTAAAGTGGTTGTAAGGTTTCAGCGGAACACATATTATAGGAAGGAGTTTGAGGTCAGCAAGCTTGGCATTTACATTCCTAATAAAACATATTCTCTTCAACATACCCCTCTGGAGTATTTTCAGTCGAGTGTGTCTAAATTGATATTCCAAACTGTTGTATTCTGAAAGCATCTTCTTCTTCACGTTCCTCAGCTAGAAACTCTGGTGGAAAGTTATTGTTTGTCCACTTCTGGAGTGTAGTCGTGTTCCAGAACTGAGTGCTCATCGGTTTAACAGAACTGGCTCATTTGTACGAGTATTGGTTCCTTGCCTCTCAGGCAGATGCACTCCTTCGAAGAAAGATCCCAGGTAGTCGACTCTTGCGACATGTATTTGGGCAGGCAGTGTGTCTATTCTTGTTCACCATACAAAAGTACCCTGGAACCAACACATGGAATTAGGAGATCTAAGTAAGGATGTTATGTGACATCCTGAAAATTTGATTCAGGTACCACGATTCAAGCCTGTCGTAGCCTTTATAGGTTCCCTCGAAGACACAGAGATTTGTCCCTAGCCTGTACCAATTAATTTCATTATTCCCTGGAGTACCTCGCTTTATTGTGTGTGTTTTTGCTTTAGTGTCTAGAGTCCAATGTGACTCCTAAATATGATGGGCAGTCGGCTTGTTTCACAGTATGGTAAAACCTGGCGTGCAGTGCAGGTAAGAGATATAGGAAAAGTACAGTAAGAAAAAGACCTTTTTTCCCACACCCTATATTTTTTTTAGACCAATCGGCACAAGATAGGTGATGTGGTTAAAATCATGCCGGCCACCTTTACTTTCTGGCACCTGGTACCCACTCAAGACGGCCTCCTTGGGAGCCAAGGTTATTTTTGAAGAAAAAAATCCGACTTTGCCAGTGAGCAAACCCGCGACCGTTCGATCTGCAGGTGAGTCTAGTCGCTACGCCGACTACCTCCACCCAGGAAGGCTTCGATAAATGCAGATGTGTACCGACTGTAATCAGTCAAAATTGTCAATTAGTTCGCATCTGCTAAAGAAAAGAAAAAGTTTGAATGAAGTGACCTACAGGACCAGACCTGCACAGTTGTTTTACTTTATTTTTCCCTAAAAAAAAAAGAACTTATGATTCCCATCTTCTGAACTATTTATAAGTGAAACTGGTTCTTTCTAGATCTTAGAGTCAGCCAAGCTTTAGATACTCACCCTTTGATACATCTGGCACCAACCCTAAACTCTTTAGAGTTTAATAGCCACCATTTTAACCAGATCAGCGGCGTCGCTAAGTCTCTTTCGTGGGCTACCTCGAGCATCAGCTACTTCATGCATATACCGATAGGCTCTCCGAGCTCTACAGGAGGTATATCGATGATTGCATCAGCGTCACCGATATGCCTCTAGTCGAATTGCAGAACTTAATTTTTTTTCTCCAACCTCCATTCCAGTATCAGACGCACTTTCAGCATTTCACCTTCGCCGGTGCATACTCTAGATCTCACTGTCACCGTGGACTCTAAAGCACCTCGGTTTACTATAAGTCTAATGATTTCCATACGTCTTACAACATCCATTGCAAAAATATCCTCAGACATCTCCCTATCCTTAGGGCTGATCCTGCCACCAGCACGATTTTCTCTTAATTTCATCTACAGGCATACAAACATGACAGCAACCTGAAGGACTAGTCAAAGAGTTGGTTACTTTCTGCGTCCCACTTCGGAACGGTCTCTTGCCACAGAACTTCACGTGGTCAAGCCCATAATTTCGTAATGCCATACGTGAAGCCGCAATGTCATTTACACCATCGACTGCAAGAGATGTGGCACGAAATGCATCGATGAAACGGGTCTACGACTAGCTGACAGGACCAGACCTGTTTTTGGTACCTGAGATCAGTACAGCTGCACTGCAAATCTCAGGATCACCAAGGTGTCCATGACGTGTAGGTGACAGCCATTAAATATAGCCACTCCAGCAAGTCTCTTGAAAATCGCTGTACTTACATTTTGGGGACGAACACCTAGGAACGGAACTGCCAACAGTTGTCTGAAATTCTATTTAGTGCGTTCTTTTCATACCCTTCCAATATGTCCCGGCCACACATCGACCTGGCTACTTCGAGATACAAAGATGCGTATTTGTATCGTAAAGCTCGCTGATAATACTTTTTGTTCGGTTTTATATCTTTACTTGATAATTGCACTCACAAGACACTCACGTGGCTGCATCCAGACTCGTGAGTTAAGTGATTCTGTGTATTGGGTTGATTGACGTTAAGTGCTGACAAAGGTGCTATATCTGCAACGTTCACGTTTTGTATGTTGGTTATATTGTTAAGCTTGCTGATATACTTTTTTATGTTTCTTTTCTAGGACTATTTAGAGCTACATTAATTTCTTTCCTTGATTTTTGATTGGCAACATCTACTGTGGCTCCTCATCCTCTCTATAGATTCTTTCAAAGTTACTGATTTGCCATGGTCTTGCTCTTGTCTCAACAACACCAAGAAAATAATCAGTCACTTGGATACTTCATAAGGGCAGGAAGAAAAAGACACCAAACACATAAATATCACCCGGATTGTCCCACTCTAGCACTTAATTTAGAAATGTCAGACAAGTACCTAAGTTTCTCATATAGCTGCATGAATC